AAGGGAGCAGTGGTGGAGATGGGGACAAGCAAAGAGATTCAGGATCAATGATGGGGTGTTTGGTGGGTGGCTGGCTGGATGGGTGAATGGAATGCTTCTCCCCTTCCTCCCTGTTCCAGAGTTTCTCTTTGAGACCCTAAATATGCCCAGTGTTTAATCTCACCAAACCTGGTATCATCCTGATATCAGGGGAGGGTGGTAGAGTAACCCAGGAGGTATGGGAAGGAGCCAGATTTGGAACCTGGAATGATGGTCTCCGGTCTGGGCTCTTCCCAGCATGCCTTGTGGTCTCTGAGAATCCTGGGAAGTGGAGTTCTGGACCTGGCAGGCTGCGCTGCGCATCACTTCCTCTTCCTGGAAGCCACTGAGGTCCTGGTGGTGGGCCAAGGGGGTGCTCTTGCACTTCCAGTGCTGCAGGAAGGCTGTGGCTCAGAAGGGCTCGGAAGGACATGAAGATGCTGAAGAACACAGTTACCAGATAGAGAAGCAGCCCAGCTGTAAGGGAGGGAGAGAGGACACACTGCAGGACCAGCACTGCCTTCCCTGCAGCCAGGCCCAGCTGTCCCAAACCCTGTCCATTCCCTTACTCTTGTCCCTGTCTCACCTGGCCATGGGGCAGATCTTGGAAATATTCCACGTGGCACAGGTGTTGCAGAATGGGCACATAAGGAAGGCACCCTCATGGCCCAGATCTCTTCCCTGTGAGCTAAAGCTGCCCATCCTGGGAAGGGCTATTCTCAACCAGCCGGCTGATCTGGCCCACCCAGCCCATCCTCCTGCCCCCAGCTCTAGCCACTCATGGTGTGTTGGTACCCATGGTAATAAGGCCAGAGACAAAGACCAAGGTGCCCACAAGGGCAGCAGACAGGCTGTGCAAAAGCCTGAAGAGGTGACAAAGTCCGTGAGCCATCATCACTGGTACTTGACCTCAGCTCCCAGCCCCCACCCCCCAGTGCCCGACTCACCTAGCCAAAGTAGATGGCCACCGTGTCCCCAAAGTATTCTCATATGAGGTGCAAGGGTTGGTGCCTGTGCCAGCATCTCCAGCAGGCCCAAGATGAGTGCAGCAATTGGTGAGGGTTGGGGTGTGCCCCAGGCACCTGATACCCGGGCAGTTCAAAGGGGTCCTAGGCAGATGAACGGAGGGAGGGCTGCAGGGAGGTCCCAGAATTCCCTCCTGATGCCCCAGCAGCAGAAGAGGGCTGAGCTCGTGTCTTCTCTCCTTCACGCAGTGGGAAGCCTGTAGTGCAGACTCCCTCTGCCAGCAGACAGGCTATGGCTTTCTGCTCCCCATTGACTGCCACCTGCCTGAGAGGATCCTGACATCAGCTTCCTCCCCTTAAGGTCCCAGCTCCACCCTCCCCACGCAGCTGTCTTGCCATTCGTGTCTCTGTGTGTTGGAGAAGTACGAGTCGTGGGACTCACTGCCTAGGAATCGGTGAGCAGAGCAGGGGTCAGACCTAACACAGTGGGATTGCAGGGTCTAATTTCTAGGCTGGGGGGCAGAGGGTGGAGACGTACCAGTTGCTAAAGCCAGAGAGCCCATCTACCCACGGAGCTCAGCCTGGGCTGGTGTGTTCCAGCCAGATGGACAGCTGAGGGGGACTGAAGAGGTGGGAATCAGGCATCGGGAGCCGCTAGAACACAGACTGGCTGAAGACGCAGAGTGAGGGAGGCGGGAGTTGCTTTTCTGAAGAACTTGGGAGCCAAGTGCCCCGCCCCTCCGCGGAAGGCCCCGCCCCCTCACGTAGCTTGCAGGGAGTTGCAGGCTGGGAGCGCTGGATTGTCCAGCGGCTTGGCGGCGCGTAGCTGCAGAGAGTTATATAGGCAGGCGCCCGAGTCGCAGCGGTTCTTCCGAGCGGTCCGAGGCCAGGTTGGATCGGGCCTGGGGGACAAGAGCAGAGTCACCCGCTCCTGGCGACACTCCACACCCGGGCCGACCCCTCCCGGGCCCACTACTCAGTCTCAGTTTCTCTGCGTGGAACCAGAGCAGCACCCGGGCTGCGCTCAGCTTGGCGAAGTGCACGGCCTGGGCGCGGCACTGGGCGGGACCGTGCGCCTGGGGGCCAGGGTTCCCGGTGGGCCAGAGCCCCGAGCCCCTTACCTTGGGACCCCGGCTGGGGCTGACAGATCCCGTTGTGCGCGAGGGTCCTTTCCGCCTTCAAAAGCACTTTGACGCGCCTTTTCTCGTTTGAAATTCAAACGAGGAGGGAACTAGCGCCCCCGTTTTATAAACATGGATACACGCTGAGCGGGCCGGCGTCCTAGAGCAGTGGCTGCTGTTTCCCAAGTATTGGGCATCTCCAGTGTGTCAGGCTGAGCGCTGTGCACACTTCGCCCACTTAAGCATCAGCCCCTCTGAGGGGCTGACACGACAATAAAGTCCATTTTACAGATGAGGTGGTGCAGTCGCTTGCGCAGGTCCCAGAGCTTTAAGGGAGCCCGCGCTCAGCTTCGGGTACCCAGCCGGCTCAGCCCGTCTCCATGGGTTCCACTGGAACGCACAGTGCGAGCGCCGTCGCGCGGGGGGAGAGGGCACAGCTGCTCATCCCGCAAGAGCACGAAGACTGCCCCATGGCAGGGAGGACAGTTAGGAAGGGTTCGCCTCATTTCTCTCCCGCAGGGGACTGGGTTTATCAGTCCCACTGAAGCCAGAATTAAAGGAAGTAGTTTGCGCTGCAGGAAGAGGGTTTGGGTTTGTTTCCAAGGGGGAACTACCCACTGCCCATTGCAAGCAACGGACCAGAGATGCCACAGGATTGCTCGCAGAGGGAGAGGGGATTTAAGAGAGGACCGTCCGTTGGCTACTCTGGCCTCGGGTGATGTGGGGCAAGAGTCCTGTCTGGCCCAAGTCTCACCGAGTTTGGCTTTCCCGTCGAGGAAAAGGTTGCCCCTGGATTCTGAGGCACAAATGCTGACGCAGGATGCGCAGAGACGGGCATGGTCCGGGTCCGTGTCCTCGGTGCCATTGCCATCCTGGGCGCAACAGGACGGAAGTGATGGGGAGAGGGGTCCCCTGCAACCTGCAGTTGCAGGTGCCAGGAGTGTCTCCATTCTCGGTCGGCCCAGCTGGGCTGCCCCTCCCTCTGCCCACCAGCTGCCCAGCCCATCCCTGGGGAGGATGCAGTGTGGCAGCCCCTCTGCCCCCTGCTGCTCTCAGCCCAGGAACGGCCACCACTACCATAAGAACAACGTGGAAGATCATAGCCAGCCTTTATTGTGCCCCTCAGGTGGTGCCTGGTGCAGCGCTGAACATTTACATACCATTTACTTACAACTCCCAGAAGCGGGTGTTGTTATCTTCATTTTACAGACAAACACGCAGGAATTTTAAAGTGAATGGTTCAAGGTCCTAGTTCTCCTTCACCTTCCTTCTGGAGCCCCTCTCCACCCTCAGCCTCAGTCAATCATCTTTGCTCTCCGGACCCACCCCTACATTCAGAATGGAGTAGAACACCAGCTTCTCCATCCCCACTGCCCCAGCCTCTGTGTCTGAGGTCACAGGGAGGGGAGAACCTCCACCCTCCCACCCTTCACTCCCCACCCCCAGTTTGGCCCTCTCTGGTCCACACAGCTCCAACTTGTCCAGGCCCCTGAGCCTCCTACCTCCATCTGGGCACTTCCTTACCCTCCCCAAGCCTTTGCCTGGCACATGGGGATCACAGCTGGCACCAGGCTGCCCAGGGAGCAAGATCCACCGCAAGACGGGAAACCCCCACCCCCACCCCGGACTCAGCCAGGTTCCTGCGTCCCCTTCCTTATGCTGGGGCCAGGTTCCTTGCCAGGGGTCCTCCCACTTGCCCAGTTGCCCAGGAGGCCAGCCAGATTTGGGTGGCAGAGGGAAGAATTTTTCAGTGACCATGGCATGGCCTGGGAAGGGAGGCAGGGGAGGGGGCGGGGGGGGGCGGAGAAAAAGGGAAGGAAAGTGAGGAAGGAGGTGACAGCACTGTATCTCCCCTCCTACGGGCAGCCCCAGGCTTCACAGCTGGAAAAGCTGGGAGGACCTGGAGTGGGCCAAGGAGGGGCTGGACCAGGAAGACAGCATTAGGAGATTGGAGGGGGGGATGGCTCAAGGGAGGGGCGTGCCTGGGGCTGAGAGCATCAGAGATGCTTCGTGGCTCTGCAACCCTGGGCAAATGCCTGTCCCTCTCTGGACATCAGCTTCCCTAAGTCTATTCGGGCTGTTATGAAAAAATACCATAGACTGGGTGGCTCATAAACAACAGAAATTCGCTTCTCGCAGCTCTGAAGGTAGGAAGTCCAAGATCAAGGCACCAGCAGGGGCCTTGAGGACCATCTTCCTGGTTTATAGCCTGCACTTTCTGCGTTTCATTGGGTAGAAGGGGCTACAGAGCTCTGCATGAGGCTCTGCCCTCAAGAGATAATCACCTCCCAAAGGAGGTGATTTGCATTGGAGATTCGGATTTCAAACTATAAATATGGGAGAGACACAGTCAGTCCGTGGCATTCCCCATCTGTAGGGAAGGGGGTGAGGACTCCTTGAGAGCCTGTTTGGGGAAGGAAGAGGGGGCTGGTCAGTCCTAACTCTGGGAAGATCGGCAGGCAGCGGGATGGGCCACAGCACAGCCCACCTGCACTCTCACCTCAGGAGATGGTCCCTCCTCCTCCAGGCTTCCCTCCGGAGCCCCAAAGTTCAGTGGCTCCAGGGCCCTGGGCAGCAAGCATGGCTACTCTTTTCCCAAAGGTCCCTCTAAATTAGGGCCCACCCCTGAACTGTTGTGGGGCACAGTCACTACCCCTTCCTCCCAGGGACCCTCAGGGCCCATGGAGGGGGTGGGGTGAGTGGAGAGGTATTCGCCTTTAAGCTGTTGTGATTTTTTTTTTAAAGATTTTATTTATTTATTTATTTGACAGAGAGAGCACAAGTAGGCAGAGAGGCAGGCAGAGAGAGAGGGAGAAGCAGGCTCCCCCCGAGCAGAGAGCCTGATTCGGGGCTTGATCCCAGGACCCTGAGACCATGACCTGAGCTGAAGGCAGAGGCTTAACTCACTGAGCCACCCAGGTGCCCCTGAGCTGTTGTGATCTAATGGTGGAATTTTTGGCACCAAAGCGGGAAGAAGGCAACTTCTTGGTGGCCTTGCGACACTTCACTGAAGTGGTCTCTCACTCTAAGCCCTGAGAGGGGGGCTTCATAGGGACCCCAGACCCTCTCCCTGGACAACACACACAGGACCTGCCACATAATCTGTGGTGTGCAGAGTTTCCGGATGGCAACAGCAGAGCATTAAACCAGGTGGGAAGGCCCCTCTGAGTGTGGGACCCTGTGGAATGCCCACGTGGCAGGCCCATGAAGCTGGCCTGAACCCACACAATGTGTCTACACACGCTTCTCGCTTTCCCTGTAACCTGCCCGGAGGACACACTGCAGGCCCAGCCACCGGCTATTACAATAATGGTTCGCAGTTCCTTCCTCCCTCAGGCTCCCAGTTCTGCACTACCGTGGAGCAGTAGGCCAACGTGTCACAAGGGCTGGGCTTGCAGGGGCTGACAGAGTGGTGCTGGGCTGCCAGTCCCACCACCCTCCCCACCTTGTCCTTACACAGGAAAACAGCAAAGGGAATTGTTCACCTCTTGGTTTGGGGTGAAGGAGTGTGATAGGGTGATTCTCTGACTGGAGCAGGGCTAACCAGGAGAAAACTGGCCTGCTGATGCAGAGCTGGTACCCTAGAAGGATGCAGAAGCTTCCTTTTTGGGGGAGATTCAAGCCCAGAGATAAGTGCTGGACGTGGGGCAGCTGGTGCTCACAACACAGGTACCAGTGCCTGGGAGGCGGGGTGTCACATTCAGGCCCAGAGGCCACCTTCTCTGGGTCCCACTCCCAAGCTTTTCTCTTGCCTGCTGGGGTAAGGTCTATTGGAGCTAAGTACAGAGAATGGGCTGAACTCACTGCCCGGAAGCAGAGCTGAAGCCTACCATGGGAGGGTCTATGGCACCTGCTGGGCCACTGTGAGGCATGGGCTCCTGCCCAGGAATATTCCTTCTCTGGGGTTTGGGATAAGCTTGGGTCTCAGCTCTGAACCAGAGTTGGGGGTAAGAAGGCACTAAAATCAGCCCTTTAGGTCCTGGAAGGGGTGATGAACCTATGGGTAGTGTCCAGGGTGGCAGACATGGTAGACACCAGGCAGGCAATCAGGGTGTCCAGGAGTGTTAGCCAGAGTGCAAGGATACAAACCTCCTGTGCATGTCAGCAGGGGGTGTGTAAATGTGTGGACGGCAGCATTTTAGAAGGAGTGCTAGGATGGGATCTTGCATGTTGATCCCATGTTGCATGTTGTACAGAGCTGCTGATGCTGCCTTTTCAAGAGGGGGTTCCAAGGGTCAGCTGGCTTTTGGGGTCACATATCTGGGCCCCCAGTCCCTTCCAGCTGGCTCAGACTCAGGCCAGGCCTCAGCCCACCATCGGGGGTGTCAGAACACATAAAGGCCCTCTTCATCAGCACCCACCCCCATACTTCAGCCTGCATTCACCGGTGTCTAGTAGATGGGGCAGATGTGAGACACAAGAATGGGCAAATTCACTCGTTTTCCTTCACCTGCCCTTGCTGGCTTTCCACAGGGCAGAGCTGCCCAACAGGGCAACTCACTCCCTGACCCCACCTGGTCCAGTCCCTGGCCCTGTATAGTGAATTTTCTGATTCTCTAGGTTGGTGGGGCCCCTGTTCTAAGCCTAGCTTGATACCTTCCTGATGGAGAAAGGTGCTACAGAGAGAGAGCTCACCTCCTGAACATGTTGGTGGACTACATTTCCCAGCATGCCCTGCCTCATGTAACCATGTGACTATGTGTTAGCCAATGGAAGGTGGGCAGAGGCCAGGTCCTTGGAGACCTAGATAATCTTCCATTTGCGCTCATTCCCAGTGGGCTGACTGGGGGTTGATGTCCCAGGCCAAAACAGGAAGCCATATGTTAAAGACCTCAGAGTCAGGGTCTCTACATGAGTTCAATGAGCAGAGCCCCTAGACCAACCTTTCACTTCCAACTGAGGTGAGACAGAGCAAGAAAAAAACTTCTATAGAGTTAAGCCACGGAGATTTCAGGATTTATCTGCTACAGCAGATGGCTGTAATGTAGGCTCTTGATTGAAGTCACTTGAGGTCCAGGCCCAGCTGGGACACCCCCTCTTCCCAGTCACCCTCTCTGGGTGCTGCAAAAAGGGGGAGGACGGCAGGCAGCTGGGGGAGAAGCTTGAGCCCTGGGGCCCTGCCCCTACAGTTCCTCAGCTTCCAGGGCCCAGACCCCCAGGTGAGAAGGAGAAGACCGGGGCACCCAGATGCCCTCAGACCACTGGCCCACAGAGCCTTGTGCCCCCATCTCACTGCCATGAATTCTGCAAGGAAGGTGCTACAGGGGCAGGAGGCTTCTTCTCAGGGCACCATCCTCCCGACAGGGCCCTCTGGCCAGTCCTCAGGATGAGATCAGACATTCCTGCCTCAGCCCTAGGACCTGGCTGCTGCCCTCTGCCTTGGGTCACGTGAGGGTTGGGAGTAGGGATCAGCTTGGGGTGTTCTCAGAGGTATTGGGGAGCACGCCAGCTGCCACCTGGTCCTGGTGCCACAGCTGTTCAGCCAAGCCATTGAGCACATGGGCAATGTCGGCTAGCCCGGCCCGCCCATCCAGAGTGCGTCCATCTGCCAGCCGCCGCCCCGACACACTCTTCACCCGCAGGAGTGGCAGTCCCCAAGCCTGCCGGAAGGCTGTGAGGTCCCGCTCAGGCACATCTGTGTGCATGTACTGGTCAAATCTGGAGGAGGGTCAAGGAGCCTGGCTGGGTACCTCTGCTTGCCATCTCATCACGCCCAGCCTTAGCCCTCCTCCCTGGGATGGTGGCGGGGGGCGCACGCCTGCTGCCTTTAAGATAAAGTCCATGGGACTAGATCCCACAGCTGGGCAGAGGCAGGGTTCCTGATCCCCTTGCTCCCTGCCTTGCCAAGTGTGGCCTCTGACTGTCCTAGGGGCTACCCAAAGGATACTTGGAGCCAATGACCATCCTGACAACACCAGGGGCCTCGCCTGCTACTCGGGCCAGCTGTCCAGGGAGGTCTTCAAAGGACGCACGGTCGGTGAAGGAGAAGAGGAAGAGGAAAGCATCTGTTTTCTCCTTGCAGGCCTGGGTATGGAGAGGCTGATGTGAGGCTTATAACCACAGGCCCTGAGAAGTCTCAGCTCACTTCCTCCCTCCGCAGGACCAGTCCCCACTGCCAGCTCAGAGCTCTCCCACCTGGGGCAGCACCCTCAGCCCATGCGCAGATCTGGCTCCTGCAGATCAGGCAGGCTGGGCTCAGACATTCAGATTCCGAAGCCCATCTCAGATAACCAGCTCCTCCCGGACCCTCCCAGGCCCACCTGCCTGCTCACCGACAGCATGTGATCGAACTTCTTGAGTGCAGACTCCCCACAGTCCCAGAACTCAAAGCGGAACATGACAACACGGTCGCTGGCCTGCAGCTTGGCTGGCCAAAATACCACAGTGGTCTGGATGCCTGGGGAGGGTCAGCCATTCAGCATGGGGAAGGCAGAGTGGAGAGGGTTAAGGGGACCAGGAAGGAATAGAAAGAAGACATGTCCCTGGTGGGTCACCAGCCTGAGAGGGAAGGCATAGTCACTGACCTGGGAGAATTCTCAGTCTGATGGGAGAAAACGCCTGCCTAGATAAGCCTCCAGTTTGCTGGAGAGGTGCAGCCTAGCCCTAGCCGCAACGAAGCAGTTTCACTTGTATGCACGGGAGACCCAAAGGTACTGGATACTGGATAATGTTGCAACCTGCTGGCCAATCAGCGTCCAGTGGGAGGAAACACGAAGGGAAGTGTAGTGCTCCCTGAGCACCTCTCTTGAGCCAGCTCAGTACTATCTCTAGTACTTTGGGGTTGGTACTATTACCTCTGCTGAACAGAGGAGCCAGAGGTAGGCTCAGAGAAGTGAAGTGACTTTCCAAGGTTGCAGAGTAAATGGTGGGACAAGGGCCAGTCCCTCCTCCATCCCAGGCAAGGCCTCCCTGGCTGGACTCACCAGTGGTCTCATGGTGTATGACGGGTACCTCTAGGCCAGCCAGCTTGGCCACCAGCGCTGTCTTGCCCACGCCACTCTTCCCAGACACAAAGATCTTGTAGCTGGCTGTGTCAATGGCCACGGGTGGGGGCAGCACTGGTCGCTCCAGCAGCCCTGGAACAAGAAGGGAGCCAGAGGGGGTCAAGAGGTCTGCGCCATCAGACCCAGCAACTCTAAGAGCTTTTCAGTGCCTTCCAGCCATGGTTTTCTATGCTCATTACAGATGCCTGGGACACAAGGGGGGGTCCCTGGATGAGCTCTGCTAAGAAGCTCACAGCTCACCTGTGCTCTATGAGCTGCATCAAGACCTACTCCAAATAATACCAAGTTACTTGTATTTGAAGTTGGATGCATTAGATTGTTTTTATTGATACTATTAACTCATGTTCTAGATTTCCCACATGTAAAGGCAAGGTTTTTCATAAGTTTTTCCTCAATGGAGAAATATTAGCAAAAATATTCTCAACTACTAAAAATAAACTCAGCACAATCAATAAATCAAGATCTTTATGAATGCTTTTAATTTGAAAAAAAAAAAAAGAATTATGATACATCCATAGGCTTGGGATCTGAAAGTCCTAAGTTGTGGGCTGCCCTCTCATTTTCTGGCCAGAGCTGAGCCCCCACAGCGGATGCCAGGCCCCTCTGCTGATGTCAGCCCAACCCTGGGTGAGTTGGCTCATCCTGGGAAACATGAATGTCTTGTCTTAGAGATAGCAGGTTGTAGAAGAGGCATGCCTCTGATTACTAGGCTGGATCTTGGAGAAGTCTGTAAGGTGTACTGCTGGGGGTAATTGGGAGTCTGTTGTGTAAGGTGCCCAGCAGAGGGCCTGGCACAGGGTGAGAACTCAATCAACAGCCTCTCTGGTGACAATGGTTCTTGGCAGTGTTTCGGCTGTTTCCATGTCCCTGGCTCTGATGATGGAATTAGCTCTAAGGTGATTCGGGGATGGGGGCCCCAGGGATAGGGCTTCCAGGGGTCTCCAAGGTTGAAGAGTGCAGCAAAGCAGGCCCTCACTGCCCTACTTCTTTGCTCTCCCCAGGGAACAACAGGTGACACTTCTCACCAGGGAGTGACAGGCGACAAGCCTGGGGGTCAGGCACTTACCAAACACCCGTCTGCGGTTCTTGCGTAAGATGCAAGCCAGGTACTCCTTGCCCTCAGCACTCTCGTGCCAGTCTGGAACAATCACCGAGCCCGGGGCAGGTGGTCTGGCCATGGCTGGGTGACCCGAGGGGTAGAGAGATGGCAGAATGCTGAGTAGGAGATGGGAGATGGTAACTGTCCTAAGCTGGACCTGTGATCCCACTCAACCTGCTCTCTGACTCTCCTCCTTGGGGTGGGGGATCAGTTATGGCACCCCACCCTTATCCCCATTAACGCTATTGGAACCCGGGCTTCCTTTCACGGTCCTGGGGAGTTACGCAATCCCCCTCTCCCTCTTATTACCCAGATGGTGCAATCCCATAGTTACTTCCCCATATTGCTCCCTGGGGGATACTCATCCCATTAATTGCCGGGGGTGGGGGTGGGGCATTTACACAGCCCTCCCCTCCCTTGTCATCTCCGGGCGGGGTTGTTACATGGCCCTGCTTCTTCTCTGCCTTGATCCCGACTACCTGGGCCACCCAGCCCTCACCATCAGCGGGTCCCGTCGGCGAACGGGCCAGTGAAGAGCTGGTCCCTTTAAAAGCCCAGCCCGCGCCCCTACCGCCTAGCCCGCTCCGGTACCTTCCGCCCGGCTCGCATCCGGCGTCGGAGCCCGCCGCCCGCCCAGTCGCCGGTGTTTGAGGCGCATGTGCGGACGCTGTTGTCAGGGAGACGCCGGGGGCGGGGCTGGCCCCCACTTTAAAGTCCGCCGCTACCACCCGGCGGCGACACCCAGGACAGAGCCTTCCTCTCTCGGCCCGTGGGTCTTCTTCATTGTTCAGTCCGATCCCCCAGGCATTCCTCCAAAAACTGATCAACTCCCCTGTCTCCAGGAGCCTTCCCTGCCTCTCAGTACCTCAATCTCCCTTCAATAAAGTGGAGGCAGGGGGCTCCTGGGTGGCTCATTGGGTTAAAGCCTCAGCCTTCGGCTCAGGTCATGATCCCAGGGTCCTGGGATGGAGCCCGGCGTCGGACTCTCTGCTCAGCCGGGAGCCTGCTTCTCCCTCTCTCTCTGTCTGCTTCTCTGCCTACTTGTGATCCATCTTTCAAATAAATTAAAATCTTTGGGGCTCCCGGGTGGCTCAGTGGGTTAAGCCTCTGCCTTCGGCTCAGGTCATGATCTCAGGGTCCTAAGATCAAGCCCCGCATTGGGCTCTCTGCTCAGCAGGGAGCCTGCTTCCCCCCCACCCCACCCCTCTGCCTGGCTCTCTGCCTACTTGTGATCTCTCTCTCTCTGTGTCAAATAAATAAATAAAAGCTAAAAAAAAAAAAAAAAAGTGGAGGCAAAATACTATTGCCTCCTAAGGTGTTTTGTTTACAACAGCGCTTGGCCCATAGCAGTGCTCGGTAAGTTATTCTTGCTGTTACTATCGCTCTGTTAATTCTGCTCGCAGGACCTAAATGATGAGTTAAACACCCCTGGCTTCACAAGTGGGGAACCAGAAGCTCAGAGCGTGAGGGACTTGCTCAAGGTCTTAAAAATGAGTCAGAGGCCCACAGGATTATGCTGGCCGGTCATTCATTTATTGATTGATTCATCCCATTCATTCAGCAAATACTTACTGAGCACCTACTACGCGTCCGTGCACCCCGCCCCCTGGCGCTGGCAATACAGAGACTACCAATACCTGCTCCCCTCCTGGAGCTGATATTTCAGCACTGACGCCTACAGCCCCTCTCCACTGTTCCAACAACAGGCACCGGCCTCTTTCCAGAAGGTGGGCGCTCAGGAAATGCCCGCTAGTGGGACTGGGTGTGGGTGGGTCCTTCCTCATAGATTGTCTGTCATGCTTGATTTTCACCAGTACCTTCTTGCAGGGCCTTCACATTGGGTAAATCCCTGTTTTGTAAGGAATAATCTATAAGTTAACTTTTATTGAAGGCTAACTAGGTGCCAGACAGTGGGTACTTTATAGGGGCGACCACATTTAATTTCATAAACAAGCCTGTGGAGGAAATATTATCCTTCTTTTACAGATGAGGAAGCTCTCAGAGACAACCTGGTTATCTGAGGTCACATCATACAGATGGTCAGTGGGAAAACTAGACTTGGAGCCCAAGTAAGTCTTCTAAGTCTAGAAAACTAGACTCTGAACATCTGTCCTGCCAGACTGGGTCTCGCGTTTTGTACCCTCTGCCCCCAGCCTCTAGGAGGGCTCTTCTTGGTAATGCTGAAAGCGGCCAGAGGGCCATGAACCCACAAATCACTGTGGCTCCTTATGTCCAAGAGAATAGAGGGGATGTGGCCATGTGAGACAGGGCGCTTGCTCTCAGCTTGCTTCCACAACAGCCAGGCAGAAACACAACAACTGAACACCAGTTCTTATGGGATTCTGCAGCTCGAAACTCTTGCCCACATTCCCAGGTTGCTCAGCTCCCTTTCCTGCAGGTCTTACTGCATCTTCCCAGAGTCAGGACTGGTCACAGTGTGTGGAGCATTCTCCCTCCGTGGCAGGGCTCAGATCTCACTTATCTGAGTTTCCAGACTTCACATTTAGCCCTGCTCTGTCTTGGCTCTTGGAGGGCTCAGAGACGGTGTAAGGAAACAAAGCAACTTGGCAGAATGAGCTTGCCGGTTCACCTGGAGGCCGAAGGCGAAGTCCTCTTGGACAGAGAGGGAGGGTGGTGATCAGAGGAGCTAGTGGCCAAAGGTTCTTAGGGGAATGAGCCTTCACTGCCCTCAGGAGCCCCAGAAAGGACACTTCAGTGAGCAACAGGAGCCTGTTCCAAACATGGATTCTTGGGGTCCATCCTCCAGAGATTCTGCTTTGGGGGCCGGATGGGTCTGTGAGCTTGCACACTTAACAAGAGCCCTGGGCAGTTCACAAGGTGGGTTCTGAAGCAGTCTGAGGGGGCTGCCGTAACAGAACACCACAGACTGGGTGGCTTCAACAACAGAAATCTATTTTCTCACAGTCCTGGCAGCTGGAAGTCCAAACTCAAGGTGCCAGCAGGGCTGGTCTCTGATGAGGCCTTTCTTCCTGGCTTGCAGGCAGCGGCTGCCTCCTCTGTGCACACACGCTCTTGGTGTGTCTTCGTCTTATAAAGACACCAGTATTCCTGGATCAGGGCCCCACCCTGATTACCTCTTTAACCTTTATTACCTCCTTTAAGGCCTATCTCCCAGGAAGTCACATTGGTGGTTAGGGCTTTACCATATGGATTTGGGTGGGGGGTCCACAGCAGGGCCACAGATCTCACGTAAACACTGCTGCTGGCAACCGGAAGCCAGTCGAGGGTTAGAGCTGGGAGTGAGGTGGTCAGAATTTCATTTCAAGAGGATGCTTGTGGACCATTCCGGTCTGGTGAGTTCCGCTTTCCTGTGCCCACTCTGACCATTAAGTTGAGGGTCCCCCGAGCAAGATGCTTTTCCTCTTAAGGCCTAAGGTGAAGCAGGTTGGCCATTTATCTAAAGGCCCTTCTGATTTAAAACTTCCCGATTAATCCATTCATTTCTTCATGGTTTGGTCTCTCTCCATCCCCCAAGTTGATCGAGCACCTTCTGGACAAGGCCCCATAAGGCCTGGAGAGGACTTATCAAAGCAGGGAGGGACAGTCACCTGCCTGAAATAGATGGCCCAGGGGGGCAAACACACAGGACTTCGGGGGCAGGGGGGGATGGGACGCCCAGGGAGGGTAAGTGGTGAAGGGACAGTGGGATTATGTTTCTCTCTCTTCTCTGCCTGGACACTGCAGCGGTGTCCTGCAGGGTTTCCCAGCTTGCCTTCTGGAATACCACAGAGGCACAAGAGCAGTCTTTAAGCAGTGTAAATCCGGCAATGTCACACCCATGCTTACAGTTTTCCAGTAGTTTTCACTGCACTCAGAATAAATCCAAACCTCGTGCCTTCAAGGCCTTCTGTGACTGGCCCCTCGTGCTTTCAACGGTCACCCTCTTCCCCTTGCCTACTGCACTCCAGCGAGCCCGGCCTTCTGTTCCCACACAGTGCCCGGCACAGCGCTCTCTACATCGTGTCCCCTCTAACCTCCTATGCGTGGGCTGCTCCACCTGCGTGGAGCCCTGCCTCCTCCCCCACTCACGGACAAGCCCTTCCTCCCTCGGCTCACTCCTTCACATCATCCTGTTCGTGATTCTGAAATTTTACTTTTTTTTTTTTTTTTAAGATTTTTTTAAGTAATCTCTCCACCCAACATGGGGTTCGACCTCATGACCCTCAGAGTAAGAATCGCATGATCTACCAGCTGAGCCAGCCAGGCGCCCCTTGATTCTGAAATGTTAAATTTATTGTCGGTCTCTCTTGCCAGAACGTAAGCTCCATGAGCATAAGGGCCTTTTTGTTCTGTTCCATCCCCATATCACCTCCACCTGCAGTAACGAAGTGCCACAGACTGTGGCTTACACAGCACAAACGTGTCTTCTCACTTCTGGAGGTTGGCAATGATAGACAAGGAGTTGGTAGGGGTGGGAGGGAAGGATCTCCTCCAGGCCTCTCTCTCCGGCTTGTGGGTGACCAGGCTCTCCGCAGGTCCTCACACTGCCTTCCCTCTGCGTAAATCTTACTCCAAATTTGCTCTTCTTAAAAGGACACGAACCAGGGCGCCTGGGTGGCTCAGTGGGTTAAGCCACTGCCTTCGGCTCAGGTCATGATCTCAGGGTCCTGGGATCAAGTCCCACATCGGGCTCTCTGCTCAGCAGGGAGCCTGCTTCCCTCTCTCTCTCTCTGCCTGCCTCTCTGTCTACTTGTGATCTCTGTCTGTCAAATAAACAAATAAAATCTTTAAAAAAAAAAAAAAGGACATGAACCATACTGGATCAGAGCCCACCCTGATGGCCTGGTTTTAACTTAATCACCTCAGTAAAGACCCTACCTATCTCCAAATATGATTACAGTCCGAGGTACTAGGGGTTAGGACTTCAGCATAAGGATTTGGCGGGGTGGGGAGGGGCAGAAGGACACAATTCGGCCCATAATAATATCTACCAGCTGGAGTATGTCTGACCCAGTAAAAGCTCAATAGAAATGTGTTGGCTGACTGGCTGACGGGCTGTGGCTGCAGCTTGGGGAGTGGCCTGAAGAGGGTGCACCGGGAAGGAGGACCAGTTAGGAAGCTGGGCGA